TGGCTGTAGAAATGCTGAAGCCCTCCAAAAGTATGTGCTGGAGGGTTTCTGAAAACTGCAGAGCAGAAGGTATTTCCAAACCACAAAATGTTGGTTAAAACAATATTTAAAAATACCCTGTAAACTAATAGAAGTTGAAGTATTTGCATGCATTTCTGGGCTCTGAAGGAGGTATATCCACAAGCAATTACAAATGGGATCAGTGTGAGCAGTCCCCATCTGAATGCACTGAATAATTTTGGAGTAGTGTTATCCCATGTGCAGTGAAAGCTAAGGATGAAGAATGAATGAGGTGAGTAAGAATACTTAAATAGAAATTAGTGGTTTCTTCTCACCTGGAAGGCAGAGTTCAGTTCTGGGTAATCATCTCAAAAGGAAACTGCAGCAGGAAAAGAAGTTTGATGTTAATCAGAGGACTTCCATGTAAGGAGAGAGTGGAAACCAAGAAGGGAGAAGGGAGATTCTGCAAAGATTTGCAAACTAAGAAATGGTAGAAAGAAGGGTCTGAACCAAGAAGGGAGAAGACTTATAAGGGAGATTCTGCAAAGATTTGCAAACTAAGAAATGGTAGAAAGAAGGGTCTGCCTATACTTTCATGATGGGATAATGCTAAACAGACATGAAAAAACCCAGACTTAAAACTGATCAAAATAAATCCAGTAATATGGCACATGAGGGTTAACTAGGAAGGCTCTTTGCTAAAAGCAGTCACTAGGGCTACAATTTCACAAAACTGCAGAGAAGCTCATACATTTGTTTAAATATTAAGTAAGTTCAGAGGCAAAATTACTGAAGATTTGAAAAATAAAAATCCTAAGAAAAATAGAATTATCTTTCAGTTCAAGGTAAAAGCCAATAGAAAGTGAAGAAGAAAATGTTCCTTAGCACCAGAGCCTCTGAGCACTCCTTAGGAAACTTCAGCTTCTGGGTCATGGCTGTGAGAGGGTGGGCTCAGGGCTGCTCTGAAGCAGCATATAATACATATTAGCAATTACTTAATTTTCACTGGCACTCTCAGCCACCTGGGAGGGGAAGTGAGTGCCTCTTACCTTCAGAGATCTCCTCATGAGCCCTAGTTTGTGTTGTGTTAGGAGTTTTTACCTACACCAAATAATTAACCTAACAAAACATGTTTTGTTAATTGTGTGCAGCTAATGTATGCCTTTATTTCCTTCCATCTTCCATCCTGTTCTCCCCTCTCCTTTCTGGGTGGACACTACCTCTTCCTGACTGCAGCAACTTGTGGAGATACTCAGCTGGAGGGCAATATCTTCTTAGCAAGCAGCTCTGGAGTGCCTGAGTGACAGCAACGGTCATGTCTGTTTTGACATTAAAAAAATAAATACAAATTAAAAACAGGCAGCAGCCAAATGCACGAAACCCTGCATGCATCTGATGCTCCGGGCACTGCCTTTCTGTTGTTTTCCATGGATCCATCGTGTCTGTTTCTGCTGTACGAAGGTGTTTTTAAATCTAAAAAAAAAAAAGACATGTTGTTTGTATAAAATAATAAAAAAACAGGAATAATGCTAAATAAATGACAGATTATCCAACATGCCCCCTCCCCCAGGGCTAAGAAAGTGGCAGCAGCCAGAACATCTTTCAGAAATGAAGTGAGGGGGAAAGCAAAAGTGAAGGAGAGAAGGAGAGAGGGAGAGCAAGAAAGGAGGCGGCTTAAACAGCGGATGGCTGAACTGTGCTCCACAAAGAGATGGTGGAAGCTAATACCCCATTTGGGCTGTGCTGCAACTACAGTCGGTGAGAGGTGGCAAGGAGACCCCAGAGGAGCCAGTGTGAAGACTGGGGTTCAAGAGAGAGGAGGTGCTTCTCTTCCTGTTGCCCAGCAGTCTGACTTCAGCCTGTTTCTTCTTCGATTTCTGCACAGCAAGAACGCTATGGAGACCTGGTTGCTCGGCTGCTGGATCCCAAAACAGACTTTTCTCTTTTTTTTCCTTTTTTTGTTTCTTTTTTTTTTTTTTTAAGAAAAAACAAAATGGAATGTTGATTTAAAACTAAAGATGGAAGTAGGGATTTAAAAATGGGTTTAAGTAACCCATTATTAACCCAATTAATTAACTTGAATAGAAGCTCGCTCTTTAGTGATACTGGTTTTAGAAACAGCCACTACCTGGACAAACATGGAGTTTTGAAGCCAGCTTATTTAATTTAACAAAATAAAAAAACATTTCATTAAGAGCAGAGATTTTAGAGGAAGAGGGTATTTGTAAGGGATTTTCTATTTTTTTTCTTTTTAGTAGCATAGTTGGGATCCACAGTGCTGCAGAACACATGTTCCTTAGGAAGCAGACAAAAAACTTAGTGTTATGTTCTTCATGAAAACTTGCACATACACTCCTATATGAGGCATAAATAGCGTGTGTTTTTTATACTGAAATATATGCACCCGTAGAATTAAAGGGGTTACCTGGCCCTCCTGTATGATTTGTTGGTCTCCAGTAAAATAGCAGTGGGAGCCAGCAGCCCCAGCCAGGTGCTTCTCCCCACCACTAACCCATCTGATGTTTGTAAGTGTCATGTTTCCTAGTGTTTATTTGGGTAATTTTTCTATTTTTTACAGTGATGTTGTAACACAGAAAACTGTCAGATCAGAACCTCAAAAGCTGTAGCTGAAGGAATCCAGGCCACCCCGCACCCCGTGTTGCCTCTGGGTGTTAGAGGATACCTCGTGAAGCAGAGGGGAAAGGGAATGAACACGTGATCTGATGTTCATCCTTTGGGCCAATTCATCTTCCTTTCTTTTCTTTGCTGCAAAAGGAGTTCAGTTCCTTTATTCATTGGGTGGGAGATATGGAAATGTTTTGTTGACCTTACCAAGGAGGGAGCCTAGCCCCAAGAAGAAAATGGCCTTTCTGGCGGGCCTGATGGGATTTGTCTTGACCAAGGGAAGGCATCACTTGCAGAAGTTGGAGTGGACTTTTACCTGAATTTATCTACCCCTAGTAATTTTTTTGGATCTCTGGAGAGAGTTAAAATTATTTCCATGACAGCGTACTAAGTGTGTAGCAATCTTTCAGCAGACTACAGAAGAGAAGAAAGAGAATTTGGAATTTTAATCCTTATTCAATAAAATGCAGAAAATAAAAGCTGTTGCACAAAGCGGAGCTGTCACTTTGCAGCAGATAGCGCTCTGCTCCCTTTATTGGAGAGGAGCTATCCCACACCAGGCTTACATCAGCTAACCACTGGTGAAGGAAAAGACCATCCACACTTCCCAGGTTTATTTGAGCAAACACCCTTTTCTTCCTCCCTCTGCTATCCCAGCGGAGGAGTGAAGAGGGGATTGAACCCATGGGGGGGCAAACACTAGATTTTATTATTTCAAAAACATTTTTGAGACAGTGACTTGAAGTGGAAAAGTGAAAAGCCTTGATAATTCATTCAGAAAATTTTTAAGCCACAAAGAAAGCAAACAGATTACAGTTATGCCACTTAAAAAAGATAAATACAAAACATTATGCATGCCTTCTTTCGGTCTGATCTTCCTTGTCTCTTTACCTGATAATTATTAATAGTTAAAAAAGAGAACCCTCTGTATTAAGTATATGCATCTTTCAGAGAAAATTTTAAAAGAACAGAACTGTTGGGTTTTTTTTGTTTTGTTTTTGCACAGTCTTGGAGACAAACTCTTATGGATTTTTTTTTGTTTTGTTTCCTTTTAAGTTAATGAGAACCTTCGCTTGGTATGGCCATTATCAAACACAGCTGTACACCTTTAGCATTCTTAATGTTCTCTTATGGGGCTAATGTAAGCATCTATATAATATATATTATAAATATCACATTTTAAACAGGAAATGGAAGGCATTTGATGCAGAATTTTTGCATGATATAGAAATAATTAAAGTTAGCTAGTGTTTGTTTGTTTGGTCTGAATGTTGGTAGAACCTTCATAGCTTTGTTACAATGAAACCTTGAACTGAAGATATTTAATAAAATAACATTTAAACAGTGTAAAGTTTGGAGTGTCACATTATTCTCCTGAACAATATGAAATTGGTACTTCTGGAATAAAAATCAATTGACAGAGGAGGTTTTTTTCCTGTGTCATTTAAAAATGTAATGTTTAAAAAGTTAAGTGGTATGATGCTTAAAAGGGGGGAGGGAAGAATACTAACATTAAAAACAAAAGGATGACAGAACCTGTTAAAATTACCTTTGTGGCATTTCCCTGACAGACCAGGGGTAACAGGAAAATTCTGCTTTTTTTCCCCAATAGCCTGATCCTTGACAAATCTGTGCTATCCCTTCCTTTCCTGGTCTTTGTTTTCCTCACCAATATTTATGTTTCTTTTGGGAGAATCTGTCTTGCTATTTGGTTTGCCTGGTGTAAGCATGCAAACATGTCAGCTAGTGTATTTTGTGTCCTAGCTTGGATGCTTCTGTAGAGGCACAGAACTTGTCAGGTCTAGCAGTGTAAGCATCATTTCTTAAGTTAAAAGTTAGTTGGCTTTAACTTTTGTTTTTATACTGCCTCTTGTTAGCATTTCATGTATGCCCCATGAGGTAGGCTTTGTTCCGCTCAGGTTTTGCTGCTCTGCCGTTTCTGTTATTTCCCACCTTGCAGATCTCAGCTGCTCGTGCGGGCAGGTGGCGGAGCCGTGAGGCTGCCGCGGGTGCTGCCCTCGCTCAGCCTCTGCCGAGCCCCTGCCCAGCGCGCCCGTGTGGGCCGGAGACGCGCCGGGGCTTCTCGGCGTCCGTGCCACCCACTGGCCTTGTGTCTGGCACAGGTACTGCTGCGATTGTGCGGGCACACGCATCTCCTCTTGGCACTGGCTGCAGCAAAGGGGCTCTAGGCAGCTTGAGCCCCCCCCAGCTGGCAGGCCTGGCTGGCCTCCATTCCCCTGAGCTCTTCCCAGGTGTGTGGGAAGTGCGGCAAAGGGGAGGGGGTGGCTCTGCCTTATCACTGGAAGCGAGTTCATTGTGCTTAATCCCCTTTAACTGCAGCAATTACCCAGTAAATAGGTGTCAGCTGTTGCTGCTTAGAGAGATGATTACTTTTGCTGCCTGATGAAACAGGAGGGAAAAAATCGTCCTTAGTGTTTGAAGGGAGAAGGTAAGAGTTTTATAGTCCATTTTACTGGGACTAAAGGCAATCTGTTCGTGCCCAGAAGAAATGGCTCCTGCTATTTCAGTAGCAAAGAGACGTTCTGCTCTTATTTCTGACATATGAGCCAGGAGCATTCATCAGGTAAGGTTTTCTCCTGAAGTAGTTTATCCTGTCTTGATGATCTTTGAAAATATGTTGCAGTATGAGCTGATAAGCATTAGGAAGGTACTCATAAAATTAGTGCTGATATCCCACTTTTTTTAGTAACTCTTTTAACCAGGATAAGAGTAATTTAAACACTTGTTGAAAGCAAAATAGTCAGACTCACGCGAAGAATATTTATTGTAGCATATATATGGGACCTGTTTTATGTCTTATGTTCTAGCTGACAGCAGGGATTAGGAATGGTACTTCCCTGCATTGTAATACCTCCAGTGTTGAACTATCAAACAGGGATATTCCCAGAACCTTACTTCCCAGTATGCTATAGCTGTTTAAAATGTTTTCATCCTATTAGATGAAGTTTTTCCATCTTCCTACCAAAGATGAGTGTCTGAGCATGGTTTTTTAAATTTCCTTCCAATTTAAGTACATGCACAATTGTATACATAGGTGGATTACTCTGTGGAAGACTTGTAATTGATGTTAGCCTTTATTTATGCCCAAGTAGATTTCCTTTTAAACTGGGATTGCTCTGCTCTCACTTGCTGGGCTAGTGGCACAAAGGCCTGGCAGGATGCTCCTATGCTTATAGTATCTATGAGATGTGGGGAGTAGTGTGAGCAGAACTGGACCCTGAATGTCAATATCCTTCCGATTTTATTATGAAAATTGTTACCTCTTACTTATGTGTAATTGATAACATAGAAAAACAAACAGAGCATTTGACTGATGATTGGATTTGTGATCTGATTTTGGGTTTGCTATGGCTTTGCAGGGTGACTGCAGATAAGCCAGGTGTGTGTTCTGTGCTTCAGCTTTCCAATTGGCCATGCAGATGATAAACCTGACCTCTGTAGAAACCACTGTAAGAGACTGATGAGCAGTGCTGTAGAGAAGCTAAGGTGGTATTGCTGCTACACATCACAGGTGATTTTTTTTTTGCCTGAGAATTTGAAAGGTTTGGGACTGCAGATTAATGCACCTGGAATGCTTGTTTATTTGGGTTTGGTATACATTTATTTAAGAGTAGAGAAAGGTGATCCTTTGGGGGCACTTAAAGCGGCTTGAATGGAGGATTATGAATTTTTCCCTTGAGATCCTTAACGCCTGAGAGCTCCTCACCTGCCAGAATGTCCTCTTTGCCTGCTGGTAAGGAATAGGAATTTACTGGTTGGTGTTTAGTACTCTAAAGAATTTTAAGCCAATTTCTTATGTACTTACCAAATATTAGAAAACAAAAATGCATACGTTCATGGTTTTTAAGGCAGACTACAGGCTACAAGGAAAGAATGGATGTAATTAAGTTAATAAAATCTCATTCTGAAAGTCTCTTGTGCTACAGGAGGGTCCTCTAAAGCACTGGTGGATGGGGGAGAGGGAAAGGTGGTTGTGCCTAATTTGTTTCAATTTATACAATTTTACCATAATTATCTATGAATGGGTGGGCAGGATGACATTTATTCACAGAAAACCATTTTGTTAATGCATCATACGACTGCATGTTGGCAGACTTGGGTTTTGGCCAGTACTTGCAATGAAATACTGTCTCATCATGGTTTATTTCTCCTTCATGCTTCTGTGGGAAAGAGTAGTGCTCATACCAACGGAGGACAGCCTGCAAAAATGGCACCAGGGCTGTGCTTCAGAGGCTTGTTTACATTGGAACCTGCTGTAGGTTACATCAGTAGTCAGAGCGGTGCTACTGCCGTATGGTTGTTCCTGTTCCAGAAAGCATTTGTTTGTTTGTTTCTTGCTACGTGTCTAGTTCAAAATAAACTGAAAACAATTACTTCTACAAAAAAGGATATGTTCTATTAAAGTGACATTTGAAATTCATTGCTTTAGATTTAGCATATTTTTCTTGTATAAAAAAGGCCCAAACTTGGTATAGTCTTAAATGTTTTTAAGAATTGTAAACAGATTTCAGTCTTGTTCATTCCAAAAAGTATTAATGCTGAAATTGTTTTATATGTGGTATATTTTATATAAAAGTTATAGTTTTAACACCTTCTAATCTGTTATAATATCAGTAAAAATCTTCCATACCTATTACAAAGACTATATTGAGCCTCAACAGAAACAGCAAGACACTTAGTCTTCTAATTCGACTTTCCCTTTAGGAAGAAGCAGGCCTGAGCCATTAAATGGAACATCCAGGGAAAGATGGTTTATGTGACCTTAAGAAAGAGAAATTGCCTCAGTGAAGTGCAATGTTGCCAGGGATAGCACATGCTGAGTGAGGTAGGCACAGAGCAATATGATAACTTGGAAGATGGGAGTCACAAAGCCAAGCACTCAGAGTGCTTTGGAGTGTGAGGAAGAGAGCAGAGATGCAAGATGGGGTTGAAGGTGTCTTGCAAGTGAGCAGAGAAAGTTACATATGAGGTAGCTGGAAGGGCAGTGAGGACAGTGGGATGGAGAGTTGTTTTGTGGTGAAATGAGAAGGAAAGCAGGTGAATTCTGTGCTGGTGGTTTGAGCAGGGATTTGGAGAGATGGGGCATATTTTGGGGTAGCTTCTTCCGTGGCACATTTAACTAGAGTTTTAACTCGATGCTCTTGTGCCTGTATAGCAAACTATAGTGTACAACATACCCTCCTGTCACTGATTTCCCTCCCTCAGAATTTTTTTTTTAAACCAGACTATCAAATTGTACTTTGAAATGGTAAATCCCATTTCACAGAATGTAGTACTGGATGATAAATGCTACAAGCACATGACACAAAGTTCTGAGCTGCCACATAGTCCCTCTCTTGGCTCAGATTTGATCAGCTGTTTTGGAAAGTGTAAGGTCTGCGGCAGACTGGGCATCACCTGTTGCTGCCACGCTAGCTTTGGGACGGCAGGAGGACGATATTAATCTGATGTGACACTGTGGCACGTGTTCGGATTAACTCAACAGAAATGCAATCACGTGTTAAAATATGTGCTGCTGGGTATTTTGGCAGCACAGACCTGTGTGATGGGACTGCAGGTGGTGGGAGCAGCTGCCTCATCCACCTCTGCTGAGGTGGGGGTGCTGTCAGCCAGAGGCAGAACAGGCTTTTGAAGCATGCTAAGATATGATTGCTCATAGCTTTGTCTGCTTTTCTTCAGTTATTTGATTCACCTGCTAACATGGGCTTAGCAGGCTTGCAGAAGTCTGATCAGTACTTCAGGTGCAAATTGATTAGCTGAAGATTAAAAATCCTCTATAAATATGTCCATAAACCATGATTTTTGAGCTTTTCAAACTTTTTAATAGAGGAGCATGTTCCTGTACAGCAAATATACATATTGCATTGCCTTTTTGAGGGTTTTCTGAGAGTTATTCACAAGGTGCCAGCAATCCTCTGACAGCAGGATGGGAAGCAGTACTTTGCCAACATGAGGCCTTATTCCCCGAACACCTGCTTTCCCTTTGCTTTCTCTTTTTTTTTTTCTGTCCCTTTTGACTGCTCCAGGTCCCAGTCATGTTAACTTGTCCCAAATGTTCGCTCTCTGCAGGGTGGTGGGTTCTTTCTCCACAGCAGATCCAAAAGCAGGACCGTGTAATAGCACTCCGGGACTACTGTCCACTCCTCCAGCCTCCCCTGAGAATAAATGTTTCTGTGATGTGGCTTCACAACCCATTCTGGCTTCCTGCTACAATTTCCTCCACCGCTTTAACGCAGCAAATTGCACCGTGCGTGTTTGTGTTTCTCGGGAGGCTGCTGCCGGCGATGTCACAGCAGTGGCAATCTCTACCTACGGCTTTCCTGGGCATCCCACGCCTTCCACGCTGCCGGGAGCGCGGCGGCCGCAGCCGTGCCGGGCAGCGCCGGGCCGCGGCGGCGCCGGCCGGGGGACGCCCGTCCGCTTTCCCTCCGGGACCCGTGCCCTGCCCGCTCGGCGGGGCCTCCGTGCGGCAGGTGAGGTGGAGGAGGAGGAGGGCAGCGCGGTGCTGGCGGCCCAGCCCGGTGCGGCTCGGAGGGCGGCGGGGCTGAGCGAGCGGCGCTGGCCGGGCCGGGGGAAGTTGTGCCGGCCGGGGGCGATGGTCGCGGGTGGGGGCGGTCTGCGAGGGGCGGCCGGAGCGTGGGAGGAGGCGGGGGGGCCGGGCCGGGGCGGTGCGGAGGACGCTGCCCCCCTCCCCGGAGCCACCTGTGCGGCCGGGGGACCCCGCCGGAGCCCACTCCGGGGGACCCGTGCCCCAGCACGGTGCTCCGCTGCCGGCCGTGCCCGGGGCCGAAGGTTTCGCAGCCTTTCGCGGCTGCTTTTGTCCGGTGCTGGGCCCCCGACACGCGGCTGGGAGCGGCAGCCCCTGCCCCATCGCGGCTGCCGCCCCTCGGAGCCCCCTGTGCCCCGGCCGCGGGCGGAGCGGGGTCCTGGGCCGGAGCTGCGCTCCCGGCCTCGCTCCAGCTTTGTTTACCCCACGGCGTCGTGTTCGGGCGGCGGGGTTGCCGAGTACGGCGGGACCGGCGCCCAGGTGGCCGGCGTGTACCGGGACAGGGGATGCTCCGGTCCCCGTGGCGAGGCTGCGGCTGCACTGCCCGTGCTGCACACGCTGCTCTCTGGGGGCTGCGCTCGGAGCAGGCCAGCCGTGGGTAACAGTTGTGGTATTGCAAAGACACAACATAATTACATAGAGAAAGCTAGTGGAATGTGAGGAATCGTTCCTGTAGTATTTCTCATCATATTTTAGTTGTTAAAACATTTTTACAGAGGTGAAGTGATAAATAAAAGCACGAGACATCTCTGTTTGCTTATGCAAGAGTAAGTAAACGGTGTTGCCTGAATTAGAAGTGAGCAAATGTCAGACCTCTGAATTCAGCCACAAGTTAAGCTACTCCACACTGGGATCGTTCATGACCAGTTTTGCCAAAGAAGTATTCAGAGTTGTTAATTGTGCATTTCTCATTAGGAAATGTAACTTTGTCCTTTGTGGCAAAGGTAAGCTAGAAACTTCTGATGGATTGTTCAGGTTATGTGCAGTCAATTATCTTTGGTAACTGGGCTGGGAAGTTTTGGATGATGGCGGTATGAAGGGACACATCATGTACAAAAACACCCAAAGAGCCAGAAAAAATGAGAAGCTTAGCATCAGCCCCAATAATTCATTGGCCTGGGTGCCTACATGTGCTGACATTGCCCATGTGAGCTGGCTCGGCACCTGGACAGTGATCCCAAAGAACTGCTGTAGATCCCTGTGGAACTGCTGCACAAAGACACCTGAGGCGCTCTGTCCACAGTGCATCTGTGCAGTATTTCTTCTTTTGGCTTCCCAGTGCAGCTGTTTTCATGGTACTGAGATCACTGATCTGCTGACAGAATGGACATAGAAAGGCATTTTAGTTTGTTTTTCACCCTGTACAAAAGTGATTGTGGTGTGTTGAGATTGTCGGTTCCAAAACCAGCCAGACTCCAGTAGACCAGTTTTGAGCCAGTGGAAAATCTGTATACTTAAGTCTGGCAACCAGCATAAAATGGTCTAAAAACTTTCTGCTGTCAGCAGTTGTGAACAAGTACATATCTCTTACAGTTATTATCTTGTTCAGTTGCTGCTTCTTAAATTTTTCTTCCTTATCCTGAATTCCTCTCTTTGCTTGTTCTTCCCTTTTAGTTTTTGTTCTTCCCTAAGCACATGGTAATGTTTTCCTTGTTGCTTCTTGAACAAGGTTTTGTAATGGGTCTTCTCCTGTTTCAGTATTTCTTCATTCTTTGTAAAACTGTGTTTTTGCATGTATATATGAACTATGAAGAACTGGAATTTTCAAAAAAAGTTACAGCTCGGAATGAGCTGCGAGCAAGGACACAGAGCAGGAGTAGTGGTACATCTGTCCATATTAAATTTTTTGCTCCAGTTGCAGAAATTACTTTTGCTTTTGGGTATGGATTCTCAGAATGGAGAGTGGGGGGCAATCTGGCAGCAAAATGAGATTGTGATACAGAAAAATTGAGAGTCCGTGTTTTGAGGTATGGTATGATATATGTGATTGTCTATCAGGATGTGAGCGTGTGCCCGGACAAGCTGGGTCTCCCAGCAACATCTAGTAGTGCAGCAATGGTGGGATCTGCTGCATGGATTTTACATAAAGCATATTTCACTGTTGTGCCTAACCTTCAGTCTGATCTGCATCAGAATTCATGTAGGGGCCTGGTAAAAATAGTTTGAGCCTACTTTTGCATTTACATTTGTAATTCCATGTTTGTTTGGTTTTTTTTTAAATGGGGGAAGGGGAAATAACCAAAGGCAGCTAAGATTTCGATGTGTCCTGAACCACAGCCTATCTCCCCATCACTGAGCCTTGTTTCAGAGGACTGAATGACTGTCTCAGATCTCTCTGAGGTATATCTGGAGTATGTCGTGATTCTCTGAGCAGAGCTGCACAGATAAGATAATCCATTTCATTTTAATTGGCAGAGTTGTTTACACATGATCTCTTGCTCATTTTCCTGTTTTAAAGGAATGCATATCCATCCCTGATTACAGCTCAGGTCAAAATCCCTCAGCACTCGTAGCAAATCTCCTTTAATTGGTCTCATTTAGCTCTCATAAGGTTGTGTTTTAATTCTCGCTCTTCCGAATCCTTTTCCCCAATCTGTAATGTAATTTATTACAGGATATTTTATAGACAAGGGAGCAGCCTCTGGCTGTCAGCAGCCTTTGCAGTGTATCAAATTTCCAGCTCAACAGGCAGCTGCAGTGGAGTTTGTGGGTGTAAGGCAGTGACGCTGCAG